TTATTATTGAACATATTATCATTCTTTTCTGCTTTGGATAAAATAAACTCAATAAGGAAGTACTTAGTTTATTTCCTAAAGAAAGTAATGATTGAATTAAAGATTCCTTGATATTTATGTTATTCCTCATGTATTGAAGTCTCAGTAGATAAGATCATTAACTGCCTGGGGCTGTATAGTTTCCCAATCCAATTGCCTGCTTTGTTCAGTTCATTGCCTTCTCTAACCATGTGAAGTATAATGTGTGTAGCAAGACATGTAATGTATAAAGTATGTCTAGTATACATAATATATATATGTGAAGTACATACAAATATATATACTATGTGTATATGAATTATCTACCAATATATATACAATGTATATAGGAAGGGCATACTTCAGAGAAATACATGACTTTTCAGTATCATAAAACAATCAAGATCCCAGTCAAGTTAGTTAACTTTTTCCATTATACCATATTGCTTCCATCTAAAGAATGCAAGATAAATTACAATTAGCATTTGTAAAGAATGTGGTCTCTGACAGTGATTTTTTAAAATATATCTTTTTTTAGTTTTAAGTTTACAGAGGGGCTGCAAAGAGGGCACAGAGGGTATACCCCACAGGGAGGTTCCCCCTGCTTAAAAATATCTTACGTTGTTATTGTGTGTCAATATTGAAACACTATTTTTAAAGTCCACACATTACTTGGATTTTCTTAGTTTTTACATATCTGTTTCAGGATCCTTTCCAGGATACCACACTAATCAATTTCAGTTATCATGTCTCTTTGCCTTCTCTAGATTGTGACAGTTTCTCAGACTTTCCTTATTTTGGTGGATCTTGGCAGTTTTAAGGATTTCTGGAGTGATATTTTATAGAGCATTTCTCAATTTGTGTTTGGTGTTTTTCTCATGGTTAGGCTGGGATTAATGGGTTTTGGGGAGGTGGAGCACAGAGGTCATGTGCCTTTCTCATCACATCATAAGTTACCCTCCTCTTCCTTTTCATACTGTAGTCTTTGGAAATAAGTCATTGTGTGTAGCCTGCCGTTAAGGGATGGAGACTTATGTTTCCTTTCCTTGAGGAAGGGTTTCATTGGATTTTGTCTGTATCAACTTATTATCCGAGAATATTACCTCCACTGCATCATGTTCATATGAAAATCTTATCCTAGAGATGTAACTGGATTCATATTAATTGAGCAATTTTCTTACAATTGTCTCTCAATATATCCTTGTCGTAAATCAAATCCAAGAGTACTTTTAATTCCAGGTTGAAGTGAAATGGAATTCTACAGCTAAATTTAAACTAATCTTGGAGAATTTGGCAATAAAACCAAAATACAGTAAAGTCATGAAATATTTTATGGGTAGTATTCTTAACACACTTACTTAACATATATTATTTGTTATGTACAAACTAATAAATTGAAGCATCTTACTGTCAGAGTGAAATGTAATTTTTAAACATGTTTTAGGGGGAGAGATTCTACCATGTAAATTGCCATAGTGGTAACATTGGAGTTTAATTTTGGGAATTAAAAAGAATGTACGCCCTCCAGAAAAAAATATTGAAAAACAGATGCTATTTAAAAGTAAACATGGGAAATAGATTTGTCTCCCACCAAACGAATCACATTTACAAGTATTTATCTTAATATAGTAAAAATTTTCTTGGGTATTTTTAATGAGAAAAAATGTTTCATAACAATTTAACATGAGATGGTTCTACAACATTTTTTGGCTTATTAAAATATTGAAATTAAAAATTTTTTGAATTGGCTCTTTTCTAATAACTTGTACTTAAATTCTCTTAGAATATCTAGTCTTCATTCATATACTGACAAATGCTTTCTCACAGAATTTATGCTGACTCTACATCTGGCCACCAAAAGGAAATAGTTTAATATTAAAGAGTCAGTTTGAAAAAAGGAGTTGATTTTCTTCCGTTAATAATTGAAACCATTATATCAATCAAGTGGACACTTAACTATTTTAAAACAAAAATGTAAAGAACATGAAAATCATACTTTATAACTTTATTTTTAAAGTTTTATTTTTTAGATTTTTAAAGAATGGATTATTCTTAAATTGACATGCTTATATAGTATAAACTTTTAATTGACAGAAAACACACTTATAGCTAATGTAATACAGTTATAGATGCATAAAATGTAACAATTATGAAATATATTGGAGATACTGTTGTTAGAGCAATTTAGGAAAAATATTATTTTGCAGTGATATGTACTGATTCACACTTAAATATTAAAGGAGATTAGATAATAAAGGATTTAATGTTTGTGGGGAGAAGTAAATACAGTACAAATATTGAAGTGATGTAAATATCTTACCTTAAAGATGGTTGGAAGTTTTGCGGTTTTATTGGAATGTGTGAAATCCAGTGAGATCTTACTAAAAAGAAAATTATCTGCAGAGCTTTCTAAGGATGAACAAACACTGTTCGATGATGGTGGCTTCTATTCATTCATAAAACTTTTATTGAGAGCTTAATGACTCTGTTCTGCATGTTGGGGCTGCTGATGGATAAAATTTGGGGCTTGCCCTCTGGGAATTATGTTATAAATTCCATTTTAAGAGTTTATAGTCACTCAATAAATTTTGCTTGTATTTCCACCAAAATAGAGTTACTGTATTTTTATTGCATGGATGATCAGTTCTAAAATACTATAAATATTTTGAAAATTTTCCAAGCCATTTTGGGCAATGTTCTGTTGGGACAAAAACCTATTGGTTAGGTTAAAACCGATTATCTGGTTAAACTTATTTAACAAACATCTAGAATTTCATTTAAAAAGCAAATACCCATGGCTGTGAAACAGGGCCCATTCTTTCAAGGAACTTTGTATCAAATTAGGTACAAATATACAAGATATTTATCTAAGACTGCCATCTTCTGGACTCCAAGTCCAAGCCACTGATTTGGACTTATTTGATAAACACTTTTTATTCCTTCCTTAAAGCAATAAATATATTTGCATTTTTTAGTAGCACCTGGATATGGTAGTACCTATCACAATAACTATTATTATACTCTCTAGATAATATTCGGTAGATAGAGCCTGCTATAGTAGAAAGAATATTCACTTTGGAGTGAGACAGATCCAAGTTTGGTAAAGATCTGTGTCCCATATAGTAAGCTGTGACCTTGATCTAGTTTCTTGATCTGCTTACTGAGACTGTTTTTTCACTTGTCCTGGGTAGATAAATCCTAGCTTTCAGGGTGACTGGGAGGATTCAGTGTAACATATACAGAGCTCTTCACACATGCTTGGCAGAGAGCAGGTATGGAAAACTCCTAGGTGTTTGTCGGTATGGCAATAACAATATTTGGGCAATGGTGTAGTGTTTTGAAAAATGACTTCACCTTCATTATCCAGCTTAATCCTTATATTAACTTCTGGAATTGAACTATTACCAATTCAGTTATTCAGACAGAGAAATCAAGACATACAATGACAGGGAGAAATTTGATACATCCAGGCATTGAGTTCTTGTCCTCTAGCCCTAGATCTTGCTCTCTCCATAAAGGATTGTGAATCATGAGAATTCAGTCTTGCTTTGTTCACACCAGAAAGTTACCTGCCTGGCTTTGGTCAAAATGTGTAATTTCTTGAAGCTTTAGTTTCCTTCTCTGTACATTGAGAGTATTGTGCCAATTTATCTTCTCAATCCTTTCCAGCTGTACATATACACTGAAAGTCAATATAGATAGTTGTTAAAGGTACGGTGTTAGAAATGAGCTCCTGGTATCCAATTCTGACTCTGCCATTTGCTGGCTCTGTAAACTTAGCCAGGTTGCTAAATCTCAGTCTCATTTTAGTCATCTTTATGGATTGATAAAGAGTACTTATTTCAGAGCATCATCATGGTGAGGAATGAATGAATTAAATTATGCAAAGTACTTAGAATGGGATCTGGTATAGAGTAAGTGTTACATAAGTATTGGCTCTGAGTTTTATGCTAAAATTGGAACATCTAATTCAGTGATTCCAAGTGAGCTATTTTAACCCTTAAAGTCAAAGAGTAGATGTACTTATACAATAAGTAGCAGCTTCTCCATGCTGGATTCATGGTCCAATTACATTCCAGTCCTCATGTGGCAGATTCAACGTGGCAGTTCTGTTCTAAAGAACAATTACTGGGGGACATGACCACATATACCTACTTGGGTGCAATGTTCGTCTTTTAAGAAATATATTATGTGTATCAGTACATAGTCAGCTCTGAATCATCTCTGGGCACAAAACTGACCTGATGAATCTGCTTCTCTAAATTGCTGAATCTAATTGGGGCCTCAGTATGAAGCCAAAGGCCAATGATTCTAATTAGACATTTGCTGAAGAAGCATCAAAAGTGTAGAAATAAATTCTTTGCAAAAAAATATTTGAGCATTTAAATTCCAAGCATTAGATGCATATGCAAGTCATTTTTGTAGAATTATGAAAAATTCTAATTCTATATGCTTTTTATTTAAAATAACCCAAGTTTTATTTTATAAAAAACCAAGCTTTATTCCAAGAACAAAAGTATTCTTTAAAATCTTCAGAACATCTCACATTCATATCAGATCTCACTGAAAAGCAATTCCAATAATTGAACTTAGACACCTAGAAGACAATGGAGTCAACACAAAAGTCATAGGTAAATATTAGGCAACTAGCTTTAAAAAAGAAAGGATTATTTCTATAGTGTGAGCTCCTGAAACCTATTGGAAAAAAACCCAAATAGTTGTTTAATTATATCATCAAGTTAAGTACACAGTTTATTTATAGTCCCCATACTTTAATTCTGCTGTGTAAGAAATACAAAGATAAAGAAACAGCTGACATCTTCCAAAACAACTACTAGCACAGTGCAAAGAAAAAAAGAAAGAAAGAAAGAAAGAAAGAAAGAAAGAAAGAAAGAAAGAAAGAAAGAAAGAAAGAAAAGAAAGAAACACAATTGCTTTCATTCCATTTTTTGCTTCTGTATTCACTCTTTCTTTTTTGCTAGGTGGCATGCATGCAGTGGTTTCATGGAGACCATACAATGCTTGAGATGATTGAGAAAAAGCGTTGCTTGTGCAAGGAAATAAAAGCTAGACAGAAAACGGAAAAGGGCCTTTGCAAACAGGATAGCATGCCTATCCTACCCAGCTGGAAGAAGAATGCAGGGGCAAAGAAGTACAGCCCTCCACCCTACTCTAAGCAGCAAACGGTGTTCTGGGATACCGCCATCTGACTGTGCTCAGGATGGCTTGAGCTCCACGCGGAGAGGGAGGTCGACCCAGTCATGAGATTAAGAACTGTTACATATCTTCTCTGTCGGGATGGAACGCCAGTGCTTCCCCGGAAAACCCATGGGAAGCTGTGCCTACTCATGGCAAGTTCAAGATAAAATGTATGTTAATTGTATCCTCGCAATTAAGACACTTATTTATCCCGGATTATTTTGAATCCAAAAGATATTAAGATGTAAATATTTTACTAGTTTATGGGTGACACCTGAAATAATACACATTATACGTATATAAATTACAGAAATATCAAGAGTTTTACTATATGATATAATTTCGGTATTAACTGGTTTGTTATCTTTTTTATATGTAATCCCTTGATGCCTTTTATTATTAATTTTTGCATTTAAGATGTTATTTTTTTCTGTCCACATTTGGCTTCTGTATGAGAGCTCACAGCTATAAATCATGTTCAATCACATAATATATGATCTGGTGCTAGTAATGTAGAAGTCGAGTATCATATTCGTCAAGAACATCTGTTGCTTTGTAAGTTTCTAAGGATTTGACAGGAAATGGATGCAAATGTGATGCTTAATTTGGACGTCCACATTACATCAATACCAATATTTTTGCTACATTGGCTTTATAAGAATTTCTCTTCAATATTGTCTTCTTTATACTAAGCAATCATTAGTCAGACACCAGAGAAAGTTATTAGGATATATTTGGATTTCCCAGCAGAAAACATTTCCTTCAGAAATGACTTTAGGGACATGTGTCCTTGCATCATTGATCTGATTGGAGGAGACCAGGGTTCACTGTGACAATGGAAAGAACAAGGAATCAAAAGCTAAATAGCATGACTGTTTTCAAGAAAGCGGGACCAGGGGCATCATAGCCACTGCAATCACTATTTTTAAGTAATTTTTCATGTGTATGTTTGTTTCCCCTAGAAAATGAGAAATAAATATTCAGATATGTTTACATATTTTAGTACACTAAATGCCAATCTTTCCCCAAATTTAGGTCCATTAATGAATTAGTGTTTCTTACGTTTTCAAACTAGTTATCACCACATTTTGGGGTCGTAATCTGTGCATGACCATCACACCCACTCTAACTGCTTATGACACCATAACCAAAGAATTATGACCACTTGTTTATTTTATTTTGTTTCAAGGAAGAAACAGGAAATGCAGGGGATAGGGGATGGACGGGGTGGATTCAATTTTATGTGGTGGTAAAATTTAAGTTAAACAAATCATATATATCTTTTAAGAATAACTTGTTAGTTGAATATAAATATTGCCACGGATGAAGAAAAAGGAAACTATCGCATATATTTTGTATATTTAAATTACTATTTATGCTTCCTAAAATTGACAGTATGTGATTCTTCTTTAACAATCAATTTAGTATTATATTTCTGAGAGAAAAGGGTACGTGTTCGAAGTTATTGTCATAGTGGTTTTCCTTGTAAGGGTTTTTGACAGCAATAGTGCAGTGCTGCTCAATAAAACCAAATATAACTGGAGTTAGGGAATTTTTTGTAGTCTATATTGCTAAAAACCTAGTGATGCTTTATCAGTAATCATTCCTTTGAAGCCTTTGAAATGTTATAAAATAATTTTTTAATATTTTATAATTAATGTATATTTTGATGTCCAATTCAAATTCTGAAAGAATAAGGAAAAAGGGTAAGTGGGAGCATGTATATCTGTTGTTTTTGCGTGAATGAATTCTCCCCAGGAGAACTGTATACATACAGTGCTTACTGAGGTTTTAGGTTTTGCTTGTATCACTGAAGTGGTTAAAACAACAAAAAAAGCAGGATCACAAGTATAGGAAACCGTGGAGAGATCTTAAGTGGCTTAAATAAATCCTACTTCTGTGTTTCACCAGTTAGTGATTATGTTTCAAACCCAGCAATCAATGGAGTACCAATCTAAGAGGGATGGAAATGTGTTAAGGTAAAATCGTAATAGACATAAATTGTGCCTGGGACCCACGTTAGCCCATTTAGGTTATGCTGACCACATATACTCAAACCAATCAATCAGGTGTAAGACATCAATTCCCAGCATCTTGATGATGATCTTGGTGTATGTATATGTATATTCAGGCTCAGTATGGTAATGATTGGATAATCCCTTTGAAATGTATATTTAGGTAACATATCCAAGTGTGTTTTTCAGATGCCAGTCTTTTTCCCTATCTTTCTGAATAAGGAGGAAGATATTTCTCAATACTGGCCACTTGTCAAGAAGGAAACAGAGGTACTGAAATGATTTGTGTTGGATTCAGACATCCCCATTTGTTCTGCCAAACTCATGATGTTGCCAGGTTTCATGTACTCTTTTTCAAGCAAGTTCTTTTCTGAGAAGGGAGCTTGTCTGAAAATCTGACCTTAGGCAACCATTTCTACTTAATATCCCCAGATCTTCCTTTCAATGGGAAGTAACTGAAAGATCTAGAAAAGTGGCTTCACTGATATTTGACTCCATAACTTCTATTCGATGCCTAAATCACTGTTGATTGCAGCTTAGTTGACACGGCCATAGCCAGTCTATAATTAATTTTCTCTTTCTGTAGTGTTTCTTTATATGGAGAAAAAGAGGTCATTAGGATAAAAAGAAAAATCAGTGCATTCTCTTGTGGTGGTCAACAAGGATGCTTCGATCTATGAATTCGGTCAGATGATAAACATTCCATCGATAGAACACAATGGAGTGATAAACTCATATTTTTCAGCAGTGCCAAAGACCAAATGGCGTCATGGCATGGTTATCAGTTGGGAAGAGCTCACACCTATGAGAAATGGTCTTTACACAACAAATTTTACAGACAACAAATTTTACTCAATAAATTTTATTGGCTGTCAGCAAGATGCTTTTGTATAGGAAAAACTTAGCACACACAAGACAAATTTCTTTAGAGTTGATGTAAGGGAAAAATCAAATCTGCATTTCTGTTCAATGACAGAAGCTAGCATCTTCTGGGATTTTAAGATCGTTCTTCACATGAACACTGCTACCCCCTCCCCCATATTTAAGGGAAGCAAGTTCAGCCTCAAGGTGATTGATTTGCATAAGTGAAGGGTAATGTCCACCCATACAAAATACTTGGGCAAGTGAAGGAAAACAAAACATTAAGAGGTTAACATTCATAGCTTTAAAGAATATATACATTCAAATATCCAGAAATTGTCTGGAAACAACAAGATACAACCTCCCTTTTCAAAATAGGATACAGAGACTTGAGACACCGAGGCTCCATATTGTTTTGTTGAATGCTACCAGAGAATAGAGAAACAGTTTTCTTACTACACTCTGGCTTAGGCCTCATCCTCACATATAACTTGGTTTGACTCTTTGAGCAAGTTTAGTAATCAAATAAAGAAAAAAAAAGAACTAAACATCCCTTTTGGGTTATTGTTTTAATTAACTATAGAAGGCATCAAAACAATGCACATTAACAATGCAATTTTAATATCACTTATATGTTAAAGTGAATCCACTAAAACAGAAAAGAGTTTGTAAGTGAATTATGGCTACCTATAAAATTTAAAATATATATATATATATATATATATATATCCCTCTGATTTAAGTAGTAGGTGATTGAAGATGAGATACAATTTACCCTTTTAAAGAAAAGGAAGTACGATAGAATAACAATTCATCGTTCATTGTATCCCAAACTTAAATGGAACTGAAGAAAAATGGTACCTATAATATTTAAGATTAACTTACTATGTCTTCCCTCTATGGGAAAATTGATAGTTAATTGTAGAATGTGGACAATTTAATGTATTATTAGCAGTTCATTGTTGAGAAACTTACTAGTTTTTTTAAAAATTTTGTGAAGCACTTGGAATTAAATATTCAAAATGATATGATCCCTGCATTCAAGGAACTTAATTATACAATCATTAAATTTTCAAAACAAAGCCAATTATTTCTAAGAAGGTATACAATATTACGCGTTTGACATCTCTTATGTGTTTATATATGGTATTCTCTCTTTTTTTCCCAGATCAAGTGTACAGTCAAAATAAAATACTAAAACATATTAAAGTTAATGTCTAAGTATAAAATATGTTTATGTATAAGACTCTATATGTACACATAGGATATGTACTGCTGTCTATGTAAATCAGTAAAAGGATAACACGTTTGCCATGTTGGACTTGAACATTGTGGCTTGTTGTTTGGATTGCTTTAAAACCCTTTGATATTTGGGTCAATTACATTGCAACAAAGTGTGTGTAATCTGGAAAAAAATGTCTGATTCCATTTCCCTTTAAATATTACAAAGTTTCAAATTTAAGGGGAAACATCTTTACAGAAATATTGCTGGATTTATCACAACCAAATATGTTCGAAGATCTTTTTGAAGTGTTCAATTGTTCCCAAATATGACTGGGTTCTCCCACCCTAAAAGCATCGACATTTACACATGTATACACTCACATACAGTATACATACTGTATATAATATATATGAAAATGTTTAGTATGCACTTCTTTTGTTTGGAACTCCTTGAGTTAACATTTATAGTGTAGCAATTGGTGTAAAGTGCACTGTGATTATAAAAAACAAAGCACAGTAAAGTCACAGGTCTTGTTTTCTTGCACTAAAAATGTGTTTACGTATTTAGCAATTGTATGTTTACTTTCTTGCTCTTTTCAAAAAATTAAAACAAATAGCTATTAAAAAATGCTATAAAATATGTTTTTTAGTGGATAATGGCACTACATTTTTAAAAGACAGGGTTTTTAAAAGAAACCATTAAACATCCATTTCAACATAACATGTTTACCGTATCTAAGAATCTGAATGTCATATTACATTTTCATAACTCACTCAAAATGTCAGGTATGTGCCTGAAAAATTGTGCAAATAAGCATTAGCTAACAGATTTCTCTATTCATGTGTTGTTAGCCATTTCTATATGCATATTAATATAAACACTGATGTTTTCATTTCTCTTAATTTTTGTACTTGATTTTTTTAGGTAACATGTAATTATAAATGTACTTTGATACTACTGAAGTAACCAGATGTTGTTTGAAAACAATTTGTTTTCTTTAGTGCATTGGCAATATTTTACAATACTTTTGTGCTTATTTATTTGTGCTCCCGTGTAATTATAATAAAAGCAATAGTTTAAATT